TCAACTGAACGTGAAACTATTTCTGAGGATGGACTTGGATCCATGTATGCTCTACAATAAAGTTGAATAAAATGAGGTATAATCAAACAAAATTTCACTCCAGTTTTGATCATAGACAGCTTTAGACCATAACAATCACTTCTTCATAGTCAGGATGTCATGCAACATGTGTGCACGCCACAATGCACAAGTTAATCTGAAGAATAACTGAATTATATATCTCACCTCAAGGCCAGTAAATTCAGATTGCATTCTGGCTCCCAGGTGTTAGAAAAGGAGTGGTATCCTGTCCACTTGACCAGATATACGGCCTAAAATTATCAATATGAAATTGTACAAGCATGTCGACACTTTGCACTACTGCAGTCTTTATATCAAACAATCAGAGACATGAATTTTTAAAGCATGAACATATTTTGATCCTTTTGAACTTCATCTATTGCTCAGTTAACATATTAAATAACTTACCTTTCCCTTACGCATCTTCTTCGCAATGACTCGTTCAATTTCATATAGTTTTCCCCTTCTTGGTGTCGCTTTGTATGCCATAAAATCAGCCGTACTCAAGTTGTTCAGTTCTTTGTAAAATCGAACCGCCATTTCGAAAATTCTACAATATGAGCCCGCGCGTCTTTCCGCTGACTGTCCTGAATTTCTGGCCAGGAGTCAGTCATTCATCATCGAAAACCTAATGAATTCCACAAGGCGTAGTAAAAAAGTGGATTGCTTCTGAAATTTAATTCCTATTAAAATATGTAGACGAATAACTAAGTTATTCATATCAAATCAGAAAAGTTTTGGTCAAACTCATTTTCCGCGACAAAGGAAGGAGTCTTTATGAGGCAAATCGTCCCTAATGCATGGGCGGGCTAACATTTATGAGATCGTGTTCTGGCCACTATTTCTTGTTAATTCTCGTCTTAGGTTTATTGGAGAACAATGCTGGTCCATTTAGTTAAAATTTCACTTTGTATGACAGAATTTTGTAAATTGGAGATGGATATTTTTCCATACAAACGCGATTAGGAGGCAATACATCCCCGCTCGGTGGTCACCTGTCAATTAAAACTTCTGCAACAAATCAATAATGTTTGTGTTTAAAGAAGGCGTTCTATAACTTTTCCTTAATCTATTATTTATTAAATAAAATGCATTTTAGACTAATTCAGTCACCATTATTGGAAAGTAGTTTGTATTTGAAATGGGTCAAATGTCTGAAATATATTTTTGTAGTTTTGGCTTTTGTTTATAATATGCAAATTTCGGTGGTAATTAAAAGTGTTGTCGATTTCAATGTTTCTTTTAATATTCGGTTTCAATAACTGATTCAGTGTAAATAACACGGCGCTTTCGTTGCTTGGCATGCTTTTCCTTTATTCTCTTTAACCATGTCTGGCAAATGTTTTTTAAGTGAGAGAGACCAAAAACTATGTGGAGACTCTCGAGGGCTGAATGAGATATTTCGGCTTTCTTCATGCAATGATAGTGTGCGGGGACACCTCGAAAGCTTACACATTTCTGGAGAAATCGTTTCTGAAGTAGAACTGATTCTCGCTAGAGTCGGAATGTTATACGTAACAAAAGATGAAATAGAAAAAATGGAAATATGTCCCTATCACAGGCACAAGTTTGGAAGATTTTGGAGGCCATCTAAACGTTCGTGTTATCACCCAACCCACACAGGAGCTCGAAAATCCGTAAAGGGCTCTGATGTTATTAATAGCTTGCAAATGTGCAAAGATGTGCAAAAACAGTAGGCATGTGCTAAAACATGGACGATGGACTGGACGATGGACGCTGGACGATGGACGTCCATCGTCTAGATTTTATTGGACGATGGACGATGGACGTCCATCGTCCAGGTTTTATTGGACGATGGACAATTTTTATTTAGCTACAGCCGTTTCAACAAATTCAGTCTCCAAATTCAGTCTCCGGCTATCACTTCGTCACTATACTATCAATTTGACACACCTTAATGACCTTACTTACTTACTGAAATTG